AATGCCTTAAAATGATATTCTTTCAATTTGAACGCTGAAAGACTGTGTGGTGGGGGTTTTTTGGCACGAGAAACCCGAATCTGATGTTAGTTTTAAGATGCAATCAATTTTTCACAGTATTTTCATACAAAAATCGAAAAAAAATCATTTTTGTATGAAAGACTTGCCTTTGCGGTACTGTAATGATGTGAAACTTTGAACAGGCTATTTTTTGGATTGATATTTCTTTAGACTTAGTATGATTATTTATTTTGATAAGAAAATAATATTCACAAGTTTTCACGGTAATTTAAGTTACTGCAACCATACATAGACCATCATTTCTGTTTATTCCCAAAATTTCGGTTCCATGCGGAAAAGTCAGCTTGCGTACGTAAGCCTCTTTATTTAGAATCAGCATCAAGACACATCTTTAGAAACAATATTGTCAAATTGGAAAATGCGATATTTGATCGGTGAAAAATTTAACTTTTAATTTATATGTATTTTAATAGAAATCTTTAGATTTTGAGCGACTTTGGTTGATGACAAAAAATTTCATGCCTGGAGTGATACCTATGAAAAAGAGTCCAATTTTCGTCCAAAAGTCATACTTAATAATAATAATAATAATAATAATAACTGCACCGAAATAATATAGACTTAATATAGACTTAAACACTCAAAAATATGATTTGAGGAGTTTCCTGGCACAAAAAAACCGAATCCGACGTTAATTTTGAGATACAATTGAGTTTAAACAGAGTTTCTTTGAAAATAAAATGTCTTACATCCGAAAGATGAAGTTCATCCGAACTTTTCCGCACTGTGATCCACAACATGCATTTATTACAAATCTTTTACTCAAAGAATTCACGAGAAAACTGAACCTGACATTAGTTTTACGATACAAATAATTTTCGAAGCACTTTTCATACAAAAACTACTAAATATGGGAATTTTTGTCAGCCATGCCTATATGATATCGTAATCATGTGAAAATTTGCAGAGGTTATTTTTTTCACAAAAGGCTAACATTCCGAAAGTTTGAAGAAATGTCAATGCATATTAAGGGTACTTCTCATACAACATTTCGTTTTTGAGCGAAAAATCCAAAACTTTGTTCCTAATATACGTTGAAATGTCTTCAAACTCTCGAAATGTGTTCAGAGTAAAACAAAGACGACTGTTTGCTTTGACTGCTCGATTAAGAAGAAAGTTTATTTAGAAAAGTAGTTGTCACTTAGATGACAGATGCTGTCGGTTCGGTGTTGCCACCGGCAACACGAATCGACTGTGGTGAATACATTTATGTTTCTTATGTCTATGCTCTAGTTTGTGTTGTCCCAAAATTGACAACACTATCATGTATTTACTCTTAACATCTTCCCGCCCCTGAACGCAGTGAGGTGACGAAGAAGATTCGATAAATTAAACTAATTATGACAAATATTATTTTCTTTTTACAATCCCTGTGAATAAATTCAATATAAGATTACAATGATATTTCCATAAACTAAAATTAAACTAATTAGCCTGGGTGGACACTCTTCCGCTGCTGATTACATTCGGTTGCTCATTGTCGTCCTGCATACACTGAACAGCTTGCTGAATAGGAAGAGGCACCAATTTAGTTATGGGTCGTACCAAGTCCGAAGTTGGCGTCCCAATTTTTACTGACCGCACAACCTGGTGCGACCTGGTCCTGGGAATACTTCCAATATTCGTGCTACTGGCCAAAATCCTGGCGGAATGTTATCTTCCTTTAACAGCACAAAATCTCCCACACATAAATTCTGCTCAGTTTTATTCCATTTATAACGATTTTGTAGTGTGCCAAGATATTCCTTGCGCCACACATTCCAGAAGTCTTGTTGAATTCTATCGAGTATTTTCTGTTGTTTTACACGATTCAACGGAATTTCTCGAAGATTCGCTGCAAGAGGTTGAATATTCTGCTCTCCAATAAATACGTGTGATGGAGTTAAATAATTAAGATCAGTCGGGTCGTCCGACAGTGCCACCATTGGCCTGCTATTCAATACTGATGAAATTTTTGCAAATAATGTTTGTCGCTAAACATTAAAGATGGCATTTGATAGATTGATGCCAACCGCGCTAATGCCCATAAAAATCGCTCTGTTGTTAAATCTGATACACACCTAATGTGGAACATTCTGGTTACCATGCATACGAATACTGCACCATAACCCGTTTCAATTGAATTACATCTGCCCTCATATCGTCTAATACGAATGGGTCCAAAATAATCGACTCCACAATGTGCAAACGGACTAGAACTAACAACCCGCTCTTTTGGTAAATCACCCATAATTTGATTCCGGTCGTGATCAGCGTACCGGATGCATGCCAAACATCTCTTTACTATCGATTTTGCTGCTCTTCTTGCACCCATGATCCAATACTTCGCGCGCACGTATTGTAACATAAGCTGTATGCCGCCATGCAGAGTTTCTGCATGCGCTTCCTCGAGTAAGAGAGTTGCCAGCCGTGAATGAGCTGGTAAAATTATAGGGTGTTTCTCATCGTAAGTAATATTTGCGTTCTCTAATCGCCCTCACACCCGCAGAATTGAAAATGAATCGATAAATGGACAAACTTGCACTAAACTGCTCTTTTTATCAACTTCCTTATTCTGTTCAATTTGAGAAATCTCCTTAAAATAATTTTTCTCTTGTGTATACTTAATCCAATAAGTTAGAGCGGTATTTAGTTCCTCTTTTAATAATAATCCCATAATAGTAATTTTCTCCCCCTCTTCAGGAAGCTGACCTTTGTTTGTCTTAAACTGCTCCTTAGCTTTCAGCACATAAGTATGCTCCTTAGCTTTCAGCACATATATGTTACCCGCACTATTTTATTCAAATTACTAAAACGCTAAATTAATGAAATTTTGTCTAAAGAAAGACAAGACTGCTCCTTAATACCTATGTTGGCCGTGACGGCCGCCCGATATTCGCTTTGAATAGTGTTCCGCTCCTCACCAGTGAATTCTGGCTGAAATCTTTCTCTTCTATCTCGATTAACAAAAATAAATTGTGGACCATGCCACCATAAACTGCACTGTATTAATTCGGTTGCTAACATTCCTCTTGAGGCAATGTCAGCCGGATTCTGTTTTGATGGTACATAGAACCAATGTTCTTTCGGCACCAGATTTTGAATCAATTGTACCCTCTTTGCTACATAAATCTTTAATTTGGAGGGACAGCTCCTGATCCAGCTCAAAGTGATCGATGAATCTGAGTAACACTCATACGGCACATATTTGAATTCACATTTATCACGTACTATAAACATCAATTTTGCGAGTAGTTCCGCTGCACATAATTCAAGACGTGGTATTGTCACGGTCTTCACTGGAGCTACTCTAGTTTTGGATGTTAATAAATTACACCAGCTGCTCGCACCACTTGAACAACGCACATAAATTCCTGCGCCATAGCCGAGTTCTGATGCATCTGCAAACCCAATCAGCTCAATTTCTCTGCCCTTTGTTGTTTGAATCCATCGTGGAATTCGAAACTTATTGATTGCCGATAGAGTTGAATGAAAATTTATCCAATCATTACAAATTTCTTCATTCAATTTTTCATCCCATGTCACCTTTAATTTCCATAACTTTTGTAAAAATGCTTTGGCCTTGATCATTATAGGTGCTAAGTATCCACTTGGATCATAAATTCTCGCTATGTGACTTGCTATGGTACGTTTTGTAATAGGTTTATTCTGATCCCACTGCTCTTCAATTGAAAATATGAAACAATCACTGCTCGGTTGCCATTTTAATCCCAAAATGGATGTTGAATCGTCTGTCAGCTCAAGGGGTTCATTATCCGCACCAACGTCTTTATTTATGAGATTTAACAGCTCATGACAATTTGTCTTCCATTTGCCTAACTCGAAATTACCCAAGGCCATCATTTGATTCAACTCTCGATACAGGCGTGTAACTTCCTCAAGGGAGTCACCTCCAGACATGAAGTCATCCATGTATCTTTCGCTCTTAACCGCTCTTGCTGCAGATGGAAATCGTTTCTCGTAAATTCTTGCTAATTCCAGCATAGTAAAAATTGCCAAAAATGGACTCGATTTCATGCCAAATATCACTGTCTGTAGCACATATTCTTGCAATGGATCATCTTTGTTGAAACGCCAGAAGATTTTTTGATATTTTAAATCCTCATCGTTCATTCTTATTTGCAAAAACATTTTCTTTATATCTGCTGATAATACATATTTATGAAACCGGAATCGCATGATAACATGTGCCAATTTCTCTTGAAGATTCGGCCCTGCCAGCTGAATATCATTAACACTCTTCCCATTGGTGGTTGCACAGCTTCCATCCAAGACGATTCGAAAACGTGCAAGGACTGGGTGATGTGGAATATAATATCCTGTGGCATGCTGCTCTTTTATCGTAGCTAATCGCATATGTTTTGATTCAATGGCCTCCCGCATGGAACGATGATACTCTTCCCGCACTCCATGAAGCCGCTCAAGTCTCCTTTCCAACTGATAAAATCTTTGCAATGCGATTCCTCTTGACTGACCCAATTCAGTGTCAGACTTTCGGAATGGTATACGTACAATGAATCGCCCATCTTCTGCTCTAATTGTTGTTTTGCGATAGTATTCAATGGCTTGTTGTTCCTCATTAGAAAGAACCTTTCCTATGATCAGCTCTTCTTCGCATTCCCAAAATCGTTGTAATAATTTATCTAAACGATGAGTTTCTTCGCTGCACATTACTGCTCTACCGACGTACGACACAGAAGCTGATAATTTTGGTGTTGCTTCTATGGTACCAAAAATTGCATAACCAAATGTTGTAAGTTGTGCACATAAACCGATACTGCTCCATAAAACTTGGCCCATAAGGATTTCCGACCAAGTGTCTATGCCCAATAAAATATCTGCAAATCCAGCTCTATTAAATTTTGGATCGGCTTTAACTATATGTTGAAATTCTTTTATATCCGCTCTACATTCTGTTCTCTGCGCTATTGGTAACTGTTTCATTACTACGCAGACTTTAAAAATACAAATTCTTTCTTCATCATCAAACCATGGACTAAATTTAATCATTGTCACATAATTTGCTACATTTATTCCTGTGACTCCTTCAATTTCAATATAATATCGTTGTCTAGGTAAATTGGCTCTGTATACCAATCTTTCAATAATTAAGTTCACTTCGGAACCCATATCAAACAGCACTCTTGCTAAAATTAATGCACCCACGTTGTTATGCAGCCTTACTAAGCCAGTAGTCAACACGGGTAATCTACGGAGCTGCGCTAATGAAAATTTTGATTGGTTGAGTTACCGCCCTGGCTACCGCTCGGAGCACTGCCCATATAATAACTTTGCGCTGCCGGGTTAAGAGATGAACGCTGTGCACTCGGAGGCTGATACATAGTCGTTGAATTTGATTGATGATTTGATGCAAATGGTTGTTCGCTCCAAGATGGCCCTTGCCAATTGGTAACCGCCAATGCATTTGTTGATGCCACTGGGACATTGCACAAAAGAGTATTGTGAAGGCCCTTGTTGCATCTTTTGCAGGGACCCGCTTTGCAGCTGGGTGATCCCGCCTTATGATTGGATGAAAAACAGTTGGCGCATAAATTTAGTTCCCGCACACGCCTTTGCCGCTCTGGCACGCTCATTGCCAAAAATCTTGAACATCGGAACATAGGATGTGGAAATTGACAATTATTACACGAAACTCCCCTTTGTGGATCACTATTTCCGTGTTGAGTGTTTAATTTTTTCGATTTTTCATTCGAATTTGAATTGCCACTTGAATTTCCCGCTCTCTTCTGCCCGTTGTTTGAATTGGATTGACCACCACCTGAATAAGATGGCCCATTATTCGTTTTATTACTTGCTTGCACATGCTCTCGATTCAATTGTGCCCGCGCTCGTTTCGTAAGAAAATCCAAAATATTCTGCACCGAAGGCATTTCATTCCCTTCTTTCGTTTCTTCCCACACTGCCAATGAACGAGGTGCCATACGTGATAGTAAAGTGTGGACTATCACCTGATCCCAATTATCAACAGGAGAACCGCGCACGCGCAATTGTCTAATGACACCATTTGTTGTATCAATCATCAGACGGACACCATCATGTGTTTCTTGTTGTAATCGTGGCATATTAAATAGCTGATCCAAATATGACATGATTATTCGATAATTATTTTCGTATACCGCACAAAGTGTATTGTAGGCTTCATCATAACTCTCACCCACCACTTGCCAACCGCTCAATACTCGCTCCGCATTTCCAACCAAGCACTGCTTTAATAGGTATAGCTTCCGAGTTGAGTTAAGTGTACTGTTATGGATCATACTATCATATGCAGATCGCCATTCTGTCCATGCCGCATAAGAACCATTAAACTTTGGTGGCTTGAAATGATCTAATAAAAAATCATCTCTTTCCATGCGTGGACGATGTTGTATTCCGCCCAAATCATTGTTATTAATTGCCGCACCGTTTGCATTTTCTTGATCAGGATTTCCGATATTTTCATCGGTTCCATTTTGCCGCTCAGCCCGCTCTTCATTCCTTCTGGCTACTGTAGTGGGATTCGGGGAATAATATTTAAATATAGGAAAAACCCACTACGGTGGAGTCCATAGACAAACACTTTAAAATATATTGATGATTTTATTGAATAATTGATTGAACGATTGATACATAGGTGTTAACTTAGCGAATGTCTATAATGAACTCAACGTTGGTGGCGAAGCACGGCATGTATATATAGAACAAAGAGATAACGTATTAGTCGTGCGACGCTGCCAACGTAACGATTAAGCTTACACTGTTAACATATGTACGATAACTGTATTGAGGTGAATTATGATATAGGCCTAAATGGAGGTGGTTAGATAAATATATGTATGTGGTCGATGGAGGCCACTACACTACCTCTCGGTCTCTATCTCGCTCTTCTGCCTCTGTTTCTAATGTCTCGATCCGTGTTTCCAATTCGACCAATGCTTGTATGTACAAGTCTTGAGCTGCTTGGAGAGCATCATCTTGCACCTCCAAATCTGCCGCCCGCGCAATATTTTCAACAACGGCCATATGTTCTATGTTGTATTTTTCAAATGCTTGCTTTAAAATCCGCACATTTTCATGCAGCACTCTTACCATTACTCGGTTTACTTCATCGCTTTGAGTAAAACGGTGTATCCGCG